GCTGGATCAGCCTAAAACCACGACACACACGGACAAAGCTGCTCCAAGTGGAAATAGCACAGCTCAGGAGTTGTAGCTGAATGCGTGCCCTAGGGAAGGTTGTTCCATGTGCTACAGAATTACTATCTAAATAATAATAATCATCATCATCTTACATGAACATATTCTGATTGCTTGTTATCAATTACAATACAGGAAGGAAGGGACCCAGTTGAGCAAGTCTGGGTCTTGTTCAATTGGACTGTTCTTCTCCCACCCTCTCATGACTCAGTGGTTGCCAATTATTGCACATACCTGTCTGACAAGAGCCAGCTGCAGTGATAGGTAGAGGATGATTTGGTGATCTTCCCGGGCCAAGTCATATGCTCTTTAAGGACGATGACACAATACAAAAAGAAAAGCAACTGTTAGATTGTACTTCGCAGAACTCCTTCACCATGAGTCACACAAGCAGAGAACAAGACACAGTCCTCTCCTACACAAAACTAGTCCAGTAAGGGGGAAGCATGCTGAAGCTAGATAAAAAGCAGATCAATGCTGGCCTGGCTAAGCCAGGCTCACAGGAGCAAGTATGAGAAACGTAACTGTCAGGATGTTATACAACTTTTATGCTCCTTCATTAAATGCCACCTCGTGTTTTGGAACTTGGATAACTGATATGAAGAAAGTAGCTCTTAATTCAAACGCACTAAAGCATTGTTTTAAGTAATTCAGGTGAGAGAGACAGTCATCCAACTTGTTCCTATATTGCTACTTTTCAAACAATAGCAGAAGGTTAGGTTAGCACTGAAAAAAAGTAATCATTGTTTCTGTTATTATTTTGACTATGAGCACACAGAGGACTAAAGATCAGGAGCCCATGACATGAGCGAGTGCTCAAACACACAAAACATCCTCCACCCTGCAGCTTTTAGCCTAATCATTGACAGGAGACTCCTAATTTGGAAAGGGAAGACACTGAGGGAGGAATGAGGATTTGATGGCAGGAGCTGAGCCTGGACTAAAACCAAGGCCCTTACTTCCCAAGCTTGGACCTCTTAGATACTGCAGTCTGGTCCACAGCAGGCAAGAGCGTGCACTGCAGCGATCCCTCGGCTAGTGAAGTCTGCAGTGTCTCCAGAACCACGCGTGGAGGCCCTTCACACATCCCAGGGAACAGGGATGGACAGTCAGGGCAGAACTGTCACCCTCAGACTCTGGTATGCATGAAACCGCAGTTTGAGCTTGCTAGCCTGTAAAGAAGCTATTATCCAAGGCAACGTGAAGATAGTGTTTTGGGGACCTAACCTAGGAGCAAAGTGGGGCACTGGCTCATGTCACACTGCCAGCCCAGCCCAGAGACCAGTGGATTAAGCCCTCACTGACCCACAGAGCTCACTCCTCACTCTGCAGCACAGGGAAGTCACTCTACATGGGAGAGATGGGGACAAGGAAGGTCCCTCATAACCAACAGACATTCCTGACCTCTTCCTGGGCTGCGCTCTAGGACACCAGGGAAGCCAGCACCTGCATCGCCCTGCCCAAAGCGATTAATGTCCTTATGAGGGAGAAAGGACAGGCTGACAAGGCTGGTGGTTAAAAACCCTGCTGAAACTATTCATTTGCTAATAACGAACGAACAAATAAACAAAAAAAAAAATCAAATAATTACTTCAGGAAACAAACCACGCACCATTTTAATGGCAGCCACCTCTCAAATGCCATTTTGGCCTGTGAGCAAGAAGCTGTTGGAGTTGACTTTTATAACTAATGGATCTAGAACTAATTTAATATGGACCGATCATGTCCTGTACCTCTGCAAGTCAAGCTAGCACTCAAGGATTCTGAAGCACTGCCAAAGGCATTACGGTGCAATTAGTACAGGCAAGTCGCTAATTTCTCCCCTCACTTAAAAAAAAAAAACCAAACCACAAAAAACACCACAACAAAAAAAAACCACAAACCAACAACAATAAACAACCCCAAAACTTAACACCACCACCACCACCACCACAACTCCACAATATAGAACCCAGCCTTGCCCTAAGCTGTTGGAACAGGGTGAGCTGCCCCTTTAGCAAGCAGCTCCTGTGAAACCTTCAGTGGCCTCTCTAACAATAAATAACGGGAAAGTTCACATGGGTGTACAGGAGGAGAGATTAATGGTGCTTTTGGAAAGAAGCAAAGGGTTTTTACTTTACTGTTCGGTTTCCTCAAAAGGTATTAGAAAAATATTTGATCCAATCCTCCAGCTGAAAAGGCCACTTATAAAGATGGCTACAGGCTAAACCACAGCCTGACAGATCATACATGTACTTTAAAAAAAGGGGAAAAACAAAGAAAAAAAAAGAAACCAAACTCAGGCATTTAGGAAGGCACTAGTAACCAGCTCACTATCACAACATCCCTGAAGTTTGAGTACCTAATATTTGGCTAGAAGCTTGTCTGCTTCCTAACTAAAGTTAAGATACCATGAAAACAAGCCACAGCCAGTGGGAAAGGTCAAAAGAAAAATAAATGCAGTTTCACAACACTGCAGTGCTGCAATTACACCAAAATTGGGCACCCGTGAAAGGATTACACTGGAGTACAAGAACCAGTGTTACTTAAAGTATACTCCTGATCTAAAAAGTGACCAGATAAATGGCTTTTTAAAATTTTATCTTTCAGATCTCCATAGGGTAAATATCCAGAATTACATCTGTAGTTTCAGTGTACTACATGCTCTTGCTACCACTGCAGAACCAGTGCAAAACAAACACGCTCAACTCCTCCTTGCTCAGCATCAGAAAAACAGCTAAGATTTCTCAAATTCTTGGGTCCTACCTCTCTCTTACTGTCTTTTCAGATCTCTCTTTTTGGGTCTCGCTGTTCCGGGACTACAGTTTCAGGCCTTAACTGTTTTGGGATTGCTTGCTGGGATGGGATGGGTGTTGGTCACTGAGTGGTGAGCTATTACACTGTGCATCACTTGTCTGTGTATATTATTATCATTATTATTTTTATTTCAATTATTAAATTGTTCTGATCTCAACCCACGAGTCTCCTTCCCTTTTCCCCTCTAATTCCCTTCTCCATTCCACAGGGGCAGAGGAGGGTGAGAAAGCAGCTGCATAGTGTTTAGTTGCCAGGTGAGTTAAACCATGACATGTATTTATGATCACACCAAACCCAGAATTAGATACTTCAGCCCAAGTCTTAGACCATATAAGCTTTCATTTAGTTGCCACTCAAAGTCTGTAGGCATCTACATTTACAACATTAACTGCCCAAACACCACCTAGCATATTTTGGGTGGTGTAACTTAGTCATAACAGGGCCAGGAAGCTCACACATCACCTCCCTGCCACAACAGAACTGGTAAAAAGGGTTTTTAATCCAAGCAGTTTTATTTGAGGTCACTGTAGTTGCAGAGGAGTTTAATTCACAGATACTTTCAAGGCAGAGCCGTTGGATCAGACTCCCCCACAAAATACAGTGGTGAAGAACAGGTAAGTGGTGAATGCTTTGCACCACTAGCTCCATAGCCCCCATTTCACACAACAGCTCATGTAAACACTCGTTAGGACAGCAATCATTCCCTCCCCAGTAAGTGCACTAATGCCAGGTCAGCCCATAGCAGCCTACACCCTGGTGGTGAAGGTACTTTCCCACCGTGAAGGAAATAGGAGTTTAAGCCTGCTGCACACAGGAATGGAGACAAAACTAGCTTTCCACATTTGCCTGCTGGCATCACGTGAGGAAGCTGCATCTCCTAGCACTGTAGGTCCCACTATAGCTAATTTGGGGCTAAGGTTATTTCTGTTTAGTGGCAAAACACGTACTCTTACCTTCGATATTCGACCAAATAATCACTGCATTTAGCCATCACAGGAATGGTTCTGACAGGCTATTGCTGAAATCTACTGAATTGTTTTTAAACTTTCAGGCAAGGAAGCCTTACATAGACGAAAAAATTTTAAAAATTATTCTGAATTCATCCAAAGAAATACACAATGCAAGTGTCTGCAAGATTCCTACTCACCTCTCCAAAGCCTGAAGTGCTTTCTTGTTTAATTCATCCTGAGTGTCCTTCAGAGTAGCTGTAGGACAAGACACAATGCCCTTTAAAAGTTGAATTCAATGTTTCAGATTAAATAAATAGTTGCACATGCACAGAGTATTTCTAACTGGGACCATAAAAACTGTGGAAACCTGGCAGTGTGTGTTCATGGCTGGAAAACACGCAGTTTTGTTTTAAAGAACAGCACAAAAACAGTACTTTAACTCTTGCAACTCCCTTGCCTGAAATGCCAAAGCATTTTTTATTTACATATGCCACTGAAGGGGTCTGGGAGAAGAAGGGGACATATGCTAACTAAATACTAAGAGCATAACAGGCCCTCTGCCAGGTTGGTGCATATGCTAAAAGAGGTAACTAGCAGCATAGACACAGACTGTCTGACTCAGATACACACTGTTGCCACCACCATCTTCACGTAGGAGGGTGTTGCAGGTTGAACAGGCAACACCAAGAGCCAAATTTACACCTGTGACAAAACCCTTGACAACACACCACCTCCCTTAAGTCCACAACAGGCTTTTAGGCTACTTCAGGTGTGGCATCAGCCACTAACACCCTCGTTGGTGCCTCTAACTGCTTGACTAAAGGATCCTGCCCACTACGCTCACTTCTCAATGTGTGAATTAATTCCTAGCCAAAATCCATAAAAGGAGAAGAATCAAGTTCTTGTTATGCCAGGGTATCATAAAATATCACCATCATCGAGAGCAAGGGGAATGGAGGAAGAGCTTAGAGAAGCACGGCGTTCTCAGATCCAAAATATCCGGAAAGCTAGTGATAATTTTCAGAAGTACATTGGCTGTCTTGCTCTGGTTCTTAGTTTTCAGACTTCCATAATAGTTGCTTCTTTTTCTGCCTATCCTGAATTTGAGAGCTACTGATCAACAGCACAAAGAAGTGATGAGTAGTTAATCCATCAGCAAACATTCACTTACAAATACATTTGATTTCATACATCAAGTCAGTGTAAGAATAGAAAGTTAGTAAGCAGTATATACTTAAGCAACAAAACCAGGTAAAATTCAAGTATTCTTAAAAGTTAAAAGAGTTGTGTTCCTCTATAAGAAGTACAAAGGTAATAACTTTTTTTTGGATTCTGCAACACGTTTGTAAGTGAAACTTTGAAAGTAATTTATTTTGTCAAAGTAGTTCTAGTGATCAGATCTTTTTTATTCCTACACCTTCCAATAGTTCAACATACCTAGGTTCATTTGGGAGGAATAGCAATCTTCAAGATTTCCCAAATCAAAGATCAAAAATTCTTTATGCCACAAAATCTACTCTAAGTAGTAAAAACTGAACAAAAAGTTTGCAGTATAAATTTGAAGACATGGACATCCATGCAAAATGGAGGATTTATTAGAAGTAGTTGGAAATACTTCGCTCTCAGTAGCCTTAAATTGAGTATTCAGGTCCACTGCCAAATACTGGAAAAAGGTAACAAATGAGAAAAATTTAGATAAAATTAAAAGAATCAAGATTGGTGTAAACATAACAATGCTTGAGGATACATTGGAAAGGATTTCGTCATAGATACAAAACATTCGTCCACAAAAATAGGTCAGATTCTGTTTCTTATAGAAATGAGATTCCTCATCTAAGTTACAGAGTAGTTCTGGAGATGCCACACAATGAGGAAGACTGAAAGAAATTTTACTATTTGCCCCTGCAAATAAACATCAAATGAAAAAGCTAGGAGAACTTTTAGGTTCCACCTGGTAAGATGTTTGACTGATGTTCAGCAGAAAGAGCACAAAACATGTTCTAGAAATGAAGCAATTACAACTAGTCAGGTTTGCCTCTGCACTACTTGGAAACAGCACGAGTCCCACCTCCCACACTATGAACTGCATCTTCAGCTACAAATAAGTTGGAAATCTGGTTGCCTGTTTCTAGATTTGTGTCTGACTTGGATAAACACGTTGAATTTGTGTTTGACAATACTGAGGACTGATGCTGCAAGTTAACTGTGCCACTTACAAGCCCTTTACAGCTAAAGCAGATAAATCACAAAAAAAAGTGATTTTGGGAGGGATGCATAAAAAGCAGCTTAGACAGCAGGTCAAGGGAGGTCATTTTCCCCCTCTGCTCTGCTCTTGTGAGACCTCACCTGGAGTACTGCATTCAGCCCACAGTACAAGACAGACATGGATCAATTGCAGTGGGTCCAGAGGAGAGCCATGAAAATGATCAGAGGAATGGAACACCTCTCCTGTGGAGAAAGGCTGAGAGTTGGTGTTCAGCCTGGAGAGGAGAAGGCTCTGGGGAGACCTTATTGCAGCCTTTCAATACTTAAAGTGGGCTTATTATAAAGATGGGGAGAGGTTTTTTTTTACCTGGGCCTGTAGCGATAGGACAAGGGGTAAATGGTTTTAAACTAAAAGAAGGAAGATTTAGATTAGATACAAGGAACAAATTCTTTACTATGAGGGTGGCAAGACACCGGAACAGGTTGGCCAGAGATGCTGTGGATACCCTACCCTGAGAATTGTTCAAAGTTGTCATTGTCACTGCAACCCGCTTATGTCACTGAAAAGCTCTCACTTCAGACAAAGCTTGCACCAAGGAGACAGAATTAGATGAGTCTGACTAGACTTCTAAAAGTTGTGCTCCATTCTCCAAGGTTGACACCACTAATGAAATTTTCAGCCTCTACCTACCTTTACCTGCTGTGAGCATGGCTGCTGCAATTCTACCAACTAAAACACAGTATGACTTACTACTTAGATTAAAATAGCCTGCAAAGCAGTCTGACCACAGTAACACAGAGCACAGAGAAGTTTAAGTTTCTGAAACTTCAGTAGTTATTCCTGAAAAACACAGTATTTTCACAAATGCCACCTTAGGAGCCCAAGATTTATTTTCTAAAGCACTCTGGGTTTTTAAAGGAGCTTAAGCCTTACCAAAAGTCAACAGGATCTTCAGCAACATTTTGGTACCTAATTACTAAGCTCTAAAGTCACATTTGAAAACAGAGGAGGGCAAGTTCTGTGTTAGTAAGCACATGCAGCACAGTCAGTGTGAACACATGGAATGAAACAATTAATGCTGAGGATCAGCATCAACACTACAAACACAGGGACAGGTGTCTAGTTCTAGTCTTGTCCCACAGACTGAACACCCATTAGCAGCTGCAGCATAATCAGGTCTACTTACGTAGCACATCAGTTTTAGGGGAAAGAATTCAGTTTCTGTTGTGCATAGCTGTTCCATTATGTGAATCACAACATAAGAAGTGGGGATGATGGAGAGAAGGATTTCAAAAACAAGTTTCTGATCCAAACCAAACCACCAATGCACGTGCATCCTTTTTGCACGTTATCAACAGGTTTTAAAAAGCATTCCCTTGTGTTAAGACATGTAATACAGCAAGGTGTGCAGTTTTAGTACCCAGAATTATAATTAAAGATTGCATGTGTTTACCGTTATCTCCAGAAGCAAAAATGACAGGTTTGTTCACTAATAAGCAATGTCTAAATATTTTTTTTTAAAAACATTAACTGGTGCTGTCAGTATACTGTTCGTTTATAAAATCCACAAGGACTGACAGAAGAAGTTTCCAATTCAGTTCCTGATCCATGACTTTATAGTAAAATCCTAAAAGACAGAAATACAGCACGCTCTCCCATCTCTGAAAGAGCAAGGGTCTGTTAAATCTACAAAGATTTCACAAGATGTGAGGTGGTGATGTTAGATGAGAAGAGCACTTGTATTTCACAATGCATCCTCAGTCTGGTCTTTCCTCTTTAGCCTTTGTTAAATTCATCTCGCCTTCCTCTGCCTTCAATAGATTCTTCACCAGACCTAAAGGAGGCAAAGTTGACAATACTGGAACTACAAAAGGAAAAGAAAGGTTTGCTGTTGACATTGACCCATTGGGAACACATCTGCAGAAAATTTAGCATAGCAATAGATGGACATTCTGTATGAACAAGAGATTTGAGTTTCTAAGAGTGAGTCAAAAGTGGCTATGAGTTTCTCTGAGGACACATCTTTCAGCTACTTCAATGAGACTCATTTCAAGAAACATGCAATTAGACATTAAGAACAAGGAAGCTACACATACTGCTATCCGGTGTAAGTTTCAGAAAGTCTTATTTCATCCAGGAATAAAACTAATAGTTGTAAAGTGACTTTTTAACCAAACATTCCCACAAGTTCTTTGAATTGTCATTCAGTAGGATTCTCTCTTTGGACCCCACTTTTTAGTGAGTGCTTTTTGCAGGTTGCAAAGAAAAAGCTCTAATACAGCTCCTCAGTGCCTTTGTCACATGGGAGGAGAAATATTTACTAAAAGGATATATTAAATAAGAAAGCCTGACCTTGGATGGAAGGCATCTTGATATAACGCTGTAAGCTCTATGAGGCAATTGGTCAAATGTCTCTGAAACCCTTAGCTACCATTGAAAATGCTGACTCACTGTAAGTCAGCTCAAGTGGAAAGTTATGGAAATCATATATATATACACAGATGTTCGACTGTGTGCCTGCATACGTCACTATGGACTGGTATAAACACAGCGATAAACAAGATTGACAGTATGAGGCAGGATTACAGAGGGGAGTTGCTGTCTTCCTTTCAGCATATTCTACTCTGCCTCCTTACTGTGACATGTTATTTTTTTAACGATCCTAATGAAAAATCTCATCAGTGCAAATTTGACATTTTCTAGTAAAATGCTCTTCCATATTCATGATCACCGTAAGTACACTTTTGAAGTACTTAATCCATTTTAGTAAAATATAACATGAAAGATGGAAATAAGCACTGGAACAGGTTGCCCAGAGAAGTTGTGGATGCCCCATCCCTGGACGTGTTCAAGGCCAGGCTGGATGAGGCTTTGAGCAACCTGGTGTAGTGGAGGGTGTCCCTGCCCATGGCAGGGGGCTGGAACTAGATGATCTTTGAGGTCCCTTCCAACCCTAACCATTTGATGATTCTATGATAGACCCTTCAGATTTCCATCAAATAATTGAGTGACTGGCCCTATTGACTTAAAGGCTACAGATATGAGAAGGCAGAAGTTCCCTGTTTCACAACATAAAATAGATGCCTATCTAGAAAAAAAAAACAAGGCACCTGTTATGAAGACTGTTTCTTTCACATTAAAAAGGACACTTACTGCAACATCTGAACTAATCTCTTGAAAACTCAGAGACTTCTCTTCCAGAAGAAAATTTTCGAACTCATATTTTGCTGCACCAAAGTATTTTTAGAGCCAGAGTACAGCACATGCCTCTACAACTCCATTCTTTAGAAACCACCTTCTTTCCATATTAAGGATAACAAATAGATCGTAATGGGCTAACACAGAAAACCTTCTATCTCTGAAAATAGTCTCTGGGATCTTGTATAGCTTTAAGGACAGTTTAAACAAAATCTAGGTAACACACCCTAATAAGCTATGCTTTTAAGCAGAACTCAATGTTTAACGAACTTAAAAAAAAAAACATACAAGAAAGTTCAGGCTAGGAAGGACACGTTTCTTGACACAAACATTCTAGCGAGGAACTATTCTGGGGCAGAGAAATTGAGAACTGAAGAGAGTGACAGTGCCTGTTAGCCTCCATGTTGGAAAGTCATTCTCAGAACAGCTGATCAGGTATAGCTGGCTGAAAAAATACACTGACTGACACTACTGAAGAGCACAAGCCACTTCCTCATACATATCCCTTGCAGAATCCTGGTGTAACTTGCGAGGCCAGTATACTTCCATGATACCATACAGTCATTTCAGTTTTGTTTCAGGCTCATTTGCTGGAAGAAGTTGGTTCCTTTCTACGGGACTCATCTGACAGAAAAGTCATTGCTTGCGTGTGGGCAAGACTGCCAAACTGATGAGGAAACACACTAGCTCAGCTATTATTCAAAGAAACTATGTTAGAAAGCCACCTACCCATGTTAGAAATCATAGGAGAGACAGGCTGTTCCCACCTGTGAGCTTGATGAAGGTCAGACAGAGCTAGAACTCTCCCAAACACTAGGACTTCAAGCCCTTCTGGCTACCAAGCATCAAATCTGCAGGACCCCATTGTCCAGTCATTCAAAACCCAGGCAAGCAGCATTAAAATAAAATACTTCTTACATACAGTGGTCTGTATCTAGTCAACATCCACATGTACCAGCAAAGTAGATATTTTTATCTTGTTTACTTCTAAGCAGAGAAAGAAACGCCATCACAGAGGTTGAATCTCTGTGGGGAATCAGTATTATGCCAGGAACTGAAGTCAGGCATTTCTGACTCCAGTTCTTGGACTGTATTTCTTTATGTGATTTACAAGTGGGTGACAAAAATATGAAAATAGATGGAAAGTTGACTTTTTGTTATGTAAATAAGCGAAAGAAACATATTACAAATATGCAAGTAAAGCACACCAAGCATCGTCAGCTACAGCCAGGTTATCACCTCTTCAGTAATGATTCGCATTTCTTCCTTTACCTAAAAACTTCACTTTTATTACCACAGGAGACAGTTCTCTGAGCAGCTGAACAGTCCCCAATTGTCTTGCAATCTGATTGTTTTTCATGTTCAGTCAGCACTAAAAGCAGAGTTTCTAATAAATTTTCATTGCTTGCACTGAAGACTTTGAAAGATACTCTCCATACAACATATTTGACAAACAAGATAACTCACCATCAGTAGCTTGAAGACTGTATGTCAGGCCCAGTGCCAGGTAACCCTTTGCTAAGGACTCTCCAGCATCCTCACCGAGGTCTATCACCATTTTAGCAAAGTATTCTCCTTCTTCCAGCTGCAAAAGAGGTAGGTTGAGACTTATAGGCATTTCCTCTATACTTGCTTCAATAAGATTAAAGTTCTGTAGGTGATCTGAGAGCCACTGGTACTTTCAGTAAACACTCACAGAAACGAGGACACAGAAGGTCAGATTAGCAGACCTTGCTGCACACGCGCAGTTTTGAGAAAAGCTTTGGTTTTAAGCATCCACTCCAAACTATTTCCAGATGTTTAAGGTTAATGAAGGACACTGTCTTATTTTTATCTCTCTTCAGCCACTCTTCCATAATGCAACCTTAAATACAAATGTTGGATCAATTGACTACTTGTATACTATCCTAGCAGTACGTTGAAAGGTCTAACACGTTTCTTCCTTCAAAGGAAGGCCATCTAGTTTTGCTGTATGATGTTTTCAAGCTTTAGCAACCTTTACTTCCTTTCAAAACATTACAAGAGTAAAACAAGAAAGTACTTCACTGCAAGCTGAGTTCAGCTGCTGCTTGTAGTTCTGCTGCCACAAGAAAGAGGCAGCAAATTCAGGACACAGATTTTCATCTGAAATACCACACTACCTTAGCAGCCCATGCTGCACTAGCCACATTTTGCATCTTTTGCAACAATACAATTTGCTTGGAAATGCATTTTATATTACAGATTGTAATGGGAAGAGAAAGCAGGACCTCTCAGGATCAGCTTCCAAAACGTTGAAATACACAAATAGGTCTCTTCTACTACAGTACAGACTGCTCCCTACAACCTTCCTTTCCAGCTGACCACGCAGATCTAAGTCTAATGAAAATATAAAGCTTTAGTATCTTTAAAATCAGAGTTAGTGATAATTTTAAACAAAAAATAATTTGAATGTTTTATTACAGAATAGAGCATTTCTCATTTCTAATCTTAAACTCTCATTAACATGACTCACTCATTGTAAGTAGAAAATACTAAGACCTGTAGACTGTACGTATCTGGAAAGGCACAAGTTGGAGAGGTACAGGCAAAAGTTTTAAGTAATGCATGAAAGAGTTTACAGGAAGGCCTCATTTCTGTACAAGAGCCTGCAGATCCTGTAAACCATAATCAGAGCCATCCGTAATCAAGAACCAGACACCATCACACTATCCAAAAAACACTCCTGGAAACTTTTATTTACATGACAATTATATGACAACTGACTTCCTGGGATGAGGTGGTTTAATTCTGAGGAAATATATTTTTGTTTGAAATCCAACTGTTTTACAGGCAAGTACTGTAGATGTAACTGAAACATGCTCTCTTAATATTCAGCTTTGTCGGACTTCAGCATCTCATAGTTCCTTAACATCTAAAAGGAGTCACCCGTAATGAACTGGAATCAAAACGTACCTGCAGATCAGAAACTTCCCTTCTGCAGTGATCTGTTAATACGCTATCTACGAACAGAATCTTCTTGACTTGATAACACTGTCCTGTCAATGGGCCTCCCAGTTACATCACTTGAAGATATTCAGGTGACTACACTAACAGCTTCAGAAACAAAGGAGCTGGTATTTGTTAGATGATATCAAATATAGGAAGAAAATTACTGTTAATGTAAGCATAAAGAAAGGCTGAAATGTGCAAGTGAAGAAGCCATCTCCACTGCTTGGGTCGTCTCCTCACTTGTAGAGCTCCCTAAAGCCATACAAGTCAAGCTACATGTAGACCAATAGCTCTCAAATTTCTGAAACCTCAGATCAGTCAGCCCAATGACCAACATATATTTCATCATCAAACTCTTCCCTGAAAACACTATGAAAGCATTACAGCCTTGCTGGTTGCCTAGCCAACTAACCGAAATCACTAACTGTGGAAATCACTAACCAAAACAGAAATACTCCCTTGGGGCATACTTGGTGCTACCAACTACATTGCAAGGACTGTCTTTAACGGCATAATCCAAAGTCTACTGAAAACACTGGGAATAGTCCTACTGACTTCATTGATGCTCAGATGAGGCCATTTAAACTCTGATCACATGAGGAATACTGGTATTTGTTCTAGATTTCTTACTCCTCCCAGGAGCCCTACTGACTTCCCTTCCATATACTGAAGTGTGTTCTGGACTAGAGCCTAGGACAATGGAAGAAGAAAATATCCCATGACTTGCCACACAGAAAAAAAAACTCAATGAAAACCAACCAAAAAACCTTCCTATGAAACAGTAACTGAATTCTTCAGCTCTCAGGAACTTTTACGTAGGATGCAAAATCTCTGCAGCCAGCAAATTATTTATGCACCTCTTTTGCCACCATAAACAGTTCTATTCCCACCCTCCTTTTTCATTGTTTCCCCTCTCCACATACACTTTTGTCCAAGAAGTCTCCATTAGATGAAGAAAAGAGCTATACAAGGAATTCTAATGACTAGCGAACAAGGGCAGGGTGTATGAAAAAGAGAGATTAAATGACTGGTTTGGAGCTGAAATGGAGACATTTAAAAATGGAGAGATTTTGCTGCATTGTTTGTCTGAATGGTCACCTGATGGTGTTTCCAGTCTCTGACTGATGGCCTACCCTGCATAAATCAGCAGCACACCATTCAGCTTTCTTGCCTGCCAGTTATCCAGGGCCACCTGTGAGTGTCAGATTAACCTATTGTAAGAATAATCAAAACCACAACTTTTCAGAATGGCCAAAAGGGCACCTCTAGTACAAACATTCTTATAAACATTTACTCATACTAAACACTAATGGCACTTTGACCAGCCACAAAGATTCTCATGAATGCAAACTTGGGTCAGCTGAAGGCTGCTTTGAAAATAAGTAGCCTTACCATCTCCAGCACAGTTGGTTCTGTTTATGAGAGCGTTTACATTTTCTTCTTACAGCACTCAGCCACTTCCTCTGCCAATCCTGCTGTGGCTGCCATCTGCCCCCTCTTCTCCCATTCTCCTGCTCTTCAATCATTCTGGGTAAGTGTGAAAAGCCAAACCTTTCACTCACATCACCCACTGTGGTGTTTCAACTCTCCAGGGCATCAGTCTTGCTGATAGCCTAGTCAACTATGAATCTGGAAACTACTAACTGAAACAGGAATAATTACCTCGGGGCATACTTGGGCTACCTACTAAATTGCAACGACTACCAGATTGCAGTCTGGATGAAAACTCCTTCTCCATACACCTGAGTGAGTGACCAGTAATGAGCCTGAGCTGTGATCTGCCAGTAAAACTGTGTCCATGTGGGGAGAGGAGAAAGGTATGTGAAGTGTCACCCTGTGGGACTCCAGAAGGTGTGAGCTCGAGGTACAAAGAAGTGAGCTAAGTGGTAGAAAGCTTATCAGGAGAATCAAGATGTCCATTCCTACTCCTGATGTACAGCCAGGGCCAGCCTCAATATGAAGGGAACCTAAAGCGTTCATTCACTTCAGAGGACTCCAATCTCAAGGTGACACAACACTGAATTGGAAGGGCAAGGCATATGGATCGAAACTTCTTGTTGTAACTTTTAGGCCCTTGCTAGAAAGCTCCAAGCCACAGGATACCATATGTCCTCCCCACAGCAGGCAGGGCACAGCATCATTTTGTGATTAGGAAATGCACAGTGTACTGCTGTTACCTGGTCGCTAGCAGTGCCAACAGCAGCTCCCAACACCATGGAAAAGATATTTCTTCAGGCATCAAGAGTGCTGGTAACAGCTCGAAATCAGTTTCCTTAGAATCACTACCTGTTATTCTCTCAGAAGCAAGCAAAAAACAAAAGTCTCAAAGCCACACAGATACACCTCTGATTTGGCCTACTGTTCTCACATTCTTCTGCATACTTTGCACTGAATAGCTAGTGGACAGAAGGGCAGTGCCACAGGTTGCAGGGAGAGGTTCCCTGCCTCCGAGACCTGCATGGAAGAAAGCTCAGAAAGCAGGTGTGGGGGAAAAACAACCTAAAAGGAACCTTTTGTATTTTGAACTGAAGCTGTATAAATTGTCAGGAGGCACCTGGAAGCACTAGCTAAGCAACCTCTCCACCACACTAGAAACAAGCCCACACCTGGCACCTGGAGAGAGACAGGCTGTCAAACTGTGAGCTGACACCAATCAGACTGTAATACCATGGGTTGGTTTGTTGTGTGGTTTTTTTTTTCCCCCCCTTCCACCTCCTCCATCATCTTTGATGGAAAAGGAACAGTTGTTAGCTGTGTAACCCCGAGGGATGTTTTCCCTGAAACAGAGAGTGGCTGTTCCAGCCACCCTTGTTATTTGACCGCAAGTTTTGGTGTGCACTTGAGCCAAGCCCAGGGCGTACTGACAAGGGAGTGGGGAACAGCAGGTGCTGTCCCCTGGCCTATCGCCACCCAGCTTGTTTTTAGAAAAGCTCGAGTCCTACTCCACTGAATCAACACCCTCCCGGACTCTGAGTGGGAGCTGCAGTTCTCACCAGCATTGATTTAGAACAATCGCGGACAAGCAAATAGATGATGTACAGCAGCATGGAAATGGCACCTAACTGCGCCCAAAGAGAGGAGTGCGCAACAGAGGAGGCAGGAAATACACCAAGTGACACTGGAATTAGGACAGCAGACAAGGTTAGTGAAGCAGGGGAGTTCGGACACCAGCAAGACTGAGTGATACCCAGGCATATGAGACCCAAATCCTACAGAAAGGGTGTCTACACAAGATTATGCATGGTATTAACTAGTCGGATTGACCTCCTCTTACCATTTTCATCATACTGGGTTGTAGGTATAGACACTAATTCAAATAGGAGAAAAAATTAAATATTGGGAAAAGAGAATGAGAAGAGGAAAAATGCATAGGAAGAAAGCAGCTTTTAAGGCATAGCACAATGAAAAGGGTTTGTTCCACAGCTGTTTACAGTATACAAAGCAAATCATGTTACATATGTCAGGAAAAAATTCCTGTGCTTTCTATGGCTGGTCTAGTCAGTGTTTTCTCCATGTGTCACCAGTGCTAAGCCCACCAATTTACTCTCCATATAATCCCAGCCCCCAACACTCAGGAACACTTGGGTCTTTCTTCCACTGTAGCCAGAGTGTTTT